AGGAACCCTCCTGACGATGAACCTATGAGCTTATGGCGGATAGAAGATGGGAGGAACCCCCTCCCAGCCTTGTTTTTGTTCTCTCTTTTTTCTCAGGATTCTCCGCCGCCGTCCTATAGGACCCATGCCTGGGTCCTATGGGATGGCAGTGGTCCTAAATGCATATGTGTACATATGCATTTAGGGATCTTTGACGTGCACTGTGCAGGCCTGCACACCGGTCTACACTCTGTAGATTGGTGTGCGGGCCCGCACGCCAATTTGCTTTGGCGTGCATGCGCACACACCAATCCGCACCTGGCGTGCGCAAGGGGGTTATCATGCCCCCTTAATCAAACATGAGCCTTCCCTGAATTGGAAGGAATTGATCTCAACAAGATGGTTCTGACACCAGCCATCTGGGAGGGAATGTGGACTCCACCTTACGATCTGAATTTAAAATCAAATTGTTGGTGGGAATCCCTCCTGAAAAACCATTACTTAATGCATTTTGTTGGGAGAATTCCCTCCCAAAAAAACTGTGTCAGATAGCAGCTTGCTCATAGGTTTCCTTCTTGGTAATCTGTTATCCAACCCAGCTCATTTCAAGGAACCCCTCCTGATGAGGTTTAGGCTGCCTACACCAAATTAGGAGGTGTTCCTCCGAACAAACTGGATTTCATCTGGGTTTAATACCAACTAATCAAGAACTCATCCCAATGAGCTGGGTTTACTCCCAATGTTTCAGAAGCTCCTTCCAACAAGCTGTGTTTAATGCCAACATTACAGGAGCTCCCCCTGAAAAACTGGTATCAAAAACTGCTTGTTGCAGGGATTCTCCCCCAATAAGCAAGTATAAATCCCAGCTTTCCAGGGGGATTAAAAAGCTGGTTAAAAATTCAGTTTTTTGGGAAGGACTATACTTCCCAGCACAAGATGGATTTAATACCAGCCTGCCAGGAGGAGCCCCTCCTGGTGAGCTGTTAAATAAGCCTGTTTTACAGGAGGATCCTCTCCCAATACTGAAATCCCAGGAGGAGTTGCTCCTGGAAAGCTGTATTATATTGATTGTTTTCCTCCACATTTGCTTTGGTTTGAGTATCCACCAGCAAGCTGTTTCATATTCCAGTTTTTTTTTTGGGGGGGGGGGAATCCCTTCCCAAAAAAAGCTGCTTTTGATGGGATGCTCCCGGAAAGCTGGTGCATAATAATTTTTATGGGAGGAGTCACTCCTGAAAACTGGGTTTACTGGATTGCTGGGGGGAGTCTCTTTCAGAGAGCTGACCCCAGCTTGTTGACAGGAACCCATACCAATTTTTGTTGGGCTCATGATTATAATTTATGACCAATTTTATGGATTTCATGTTTCATGTTTGAGAGTTGAGGTGGTGCAGTGTAGCAGGAAGGTGTGGGGTTGGAGTAGTGAGATGTGTTGTGCCAGTGGTCTATCTTTGACGTTTCTTCTCTGTAGAGAAACATCTTGTATTGCAAGAGGGGGTTAGCAGAGGCTCTGAAGGGGCCGCTGCAGCACAGTCTCATGTCGGATTACGTGTAATCTGACATGAGACTGTGCTGCAGCGGCCCCTTCAGAGCCTCTGCTAACCCCCCCCCTTTACCCATGTTACACACTGAGAAGAAACGTCAAAGATAGACCAGGGGCACAACACATCTCAGTACTCCAACCCCGCACCTTCCTGCTACACTGCACCACCTCAACGCTCAAACATGAAACATGAAATCCATAAAATTGGGGATAAATTATAATCATGAGCCCAACAAAAGAACGTCACCCACAGTAGCGATG